CTTATGGCTTTACAAAGTGCTCTGCAAGTTGTGCAGAGGTCTCCTGGTTTTCATGTAGCCCTTTAGGCTGGTGCTGGCTGCTCCACTGTCTCTTATCCCACCAAGAAATTGCTCTGCTTGGCTCACTTTTCAAATCAAATGTATTGTTCTGTGGTCATTCGAAAACATCTGCCAGGAGTTTTTCTTACTATCATTTCTTTTCAAGACTCTGTGTTAGACCAACAGCCCCTTTTTGCAGATCCAAAATCTGGAGACAAGTCTTTGCTAAAGTCAATTTTATTCTTTTGCTGGGAAGTTTTCTTCACTGAAAGACCACGTCTTTAGGTTGTGTGTGCTGACTTCCTTGAGAATTTTTTCTGTGGAAAAATGTTTACTTTTTCCCATGCAGAACTCACCATATTATGCTGTGCTTAGAGTAATAGACACACATATACACATACCTATGTGTGTGTATGTTTTTATCTATGTATGTATAGTTATATGGGATGTTCCATATGGTTCTCTTAATAGAATCGTAAATATTGAAGTTGGCATCAGCAAATCTGAAATGATGGAAATGGTGAGGAAGATGTTTAAATGCCTTCCTGAGCAGGTGATGTCCATCAGCACTGGACACAGGTGTTACTACCTCATTGGGAGCAGCAGGTAGGCATAGAAAGATGTGCTAATACAGATACTACAGTTAAGATAACACAACACTAAGCCACAGCCCCAAGGCAAGGTCCAGCTCCTTCCCAGCCGCTCCAACCCCTTCCTGTGTCTCAGCTACAGATTGGTCAGCTCCAGGATGAAACAGTTCAGCTGGTTGATCCAATGGAAAACTGCTCTTTCCTGTAACATTTCCCTCCCCCCTGCCCCAAGGCTGGGTTAATGTTTTGCTGGTTCAGATAGGTGAGCTAACCTCCCCTGCATCCACACTTACAAAGTCCAACACCTGGAAACAGCGGGAGCACACAGCTGGGAGTGGGGATGGCAGCAGCAGCACACCAGTGTGGCAGTGCCACATCAAACTGTACTATTAAGGGTCAATGAAGAGCAGAGAGCTTTGTCTTCTCAACCAGCAGCTGCTGGGAGTTAGGAAAGCTTCTGCTCCTTATGGATAAATCATGGGAAATGATCTTGCTCTCCCAGGCTGCAATCCGCTCCTCAGCAAGGGCAGAAACTGCTGCTGTCGAGGTGATCAGCCAAAGCTGGGTTAGGTGAGGGAGGACATTTGTTTGGCACAGTGCTCCTCTGCTGCTGCTTCCCAGCTTTTCCTCTCCAGTTTCCCACAGCCACAAGCGTGCCAGGAGTCTCCCTGCCTTTATGCAGAAGAGCAGCTGATGTGTGAAGTGCTGATAAGCGCAGAAGACAAACACATACCTGTGTGCTACTTGAGCGTGCCACCCCGTGCCCTCCTCTGGGGCACTGCTCTCACAGCTCACGCTTGGTGGGAAGTGTTCTGGAATTAATCCAGCTAAATCCACCACAAGCATGAAACAGGGCTTCAGGGGTCCTTTGACAGCATGTTTCTCATCCTGCCCACCCAAATGCATTGCCAAACCTTGTTAGCTGCATTTATGGCAGGGCTCAACAGAGCAGCATTACACACAGAAGATAAAGCAGAAAGCACTGTCCCACCTCCCCATCTCTTTCCATCTCCGTGTCTCTTGCACACACACTGAATTCCCTCCTTAATACCTTTGCATCTCTTTGGGCTGCATCTCTCTGAAGTCAAACTTTCCCAGCTGGTTATAGCCACACAGCACTCTCTTTTGAAAGGAAGGTGCACATTTTCCCTATTGATTTCAGGAAGCGTTATTTTGGGACCCATAGGAAGAAGTGGGTAGGCAAATGGGTTTTCCTTGTGTTTTACCTGTGAATAGGTTTTCACTTCTATTGTTCCAAACTACAGGCAGGAAACAGAGGACTGGGTCACTGTGCTATCTTCAGTCTGCAAGGAGGCGAAAAGTGGTGGACGCTGCCCTCAGGTGACACGTTACTGCACTTGATTTTAGAAAGAAGGACGTTTTGTAATTTCATTAGAAACCTCATTCTGGCCTTGCAAGTTGGCCCTTGCCTTGGTTAATCAGAAATTCATTTCCCATATAAATCCTGCACCCTGGCTTTATGCATTAAGCAGGTGCTGCACAGTCTGTCTGCATTGGGATTGATTTTACATTGAAGGAATCTCTTTGAAGGGTTAGCTACCTGGAAATTAGGAGATGATTGACATTATGCTGCAGTGAATTGCACCTTGATGAGTCAGAATGCAGACTTGTGTGTTACTCTTACTGCATGCTTTTTGATTATATTTATGTGCTGTTTTACAAACCAACCCACATCTACTCTGTGTTATGAACCAGCTAAAGCCCTATTATTAGTTCAAGCTCAGGCTCAAGCTTTTCATCTTGTCAGCCAGCCAGGCCTACGATTCAGACTCAGCACTAAGCTACTTACATCCCTGCAGCTTCTGGTCAGCTCAAAGTGCAAGCAGGGCAAACTTATTGACTGAAAAACGTCATGTAGACAACCTCCTGAGCCATTAGAAGTAAAGATTTGGACTAGTGGGATGCACTGGTATATTGTAACCCATGCCAATCAGGTACCTGTCTTCTTACACTGCTGTTATCTTACTTCTAGAACCAAGATCTTCCGAATTCAGAAGTCAGAAGCCGGACTTCCTCTTTGCCACTGTTCTTAAATTCTATAGATATGACGAGTTTCCTGGAAAGGCAGAGATGCCAGAAGGTAGACAGAATAGCTCTCCTTAATAATGAGCTCGCTCTGAGGGGTGACTGTGATATTTGATTTGTATAGTTTACTTTTGCTATCAGAAGTTCTTCTGAGCTTGTGCAGTGGGTGCCTGAGTGGTCTGTTCTGCTCTCTGGTGGGTTCCTGAGTAGAAGGTGGATGATAACATCAGAAAGTCCCCAGAAAAGAAGGACCTTTGAGGAAAGCCTGTGTGTAAGTAAAGGCAGGTGTTGATGGCAATGAGAAATGATACTCGCTGCCTCTCTCAACTGACTGGCAAAGATTAGTAGGCATGAAATAAGCCCCTGAAGATTCGCTTTGACATGCCTTGGCAAAGCCGTGTGATGACTGTTTTGGCAGCTGCTAGTCATATTCCTCCTGTTTTGTGACTGTGCTTTTCTCTGTCTCTCTCTTCAGGCTGTAACACTTAGAGGGGAGTTCAGATTCAGTTCCTCTGTGCCTTCCAGATCTTCCCCCTCAATATTTAAATAGAAAGGAAGGAAAGCACTGCATCTGTCCCAGAGCAGAGGCAGTCCTCATCCTCTGGTGGCAGGCTGAATAGCAGCCAAGGAATTGTTGGTTTTCTCCAGTCACAAAGCTGTACGCACATGGCCCAGCTGGAGGAAGCTGAGTGAAGGTGAAGCACCTCCAGTGTGTCTTTAGGAGGAGTCAACTTTTTTCTTTTTGTATATAGGAGAATGGTTCCTCAGAAGGCAAGAACAGGCCTAAGTCAGATCCTGGCCCTCATCAGGCTCAGTGTGACTCACCAAGAGGAGTTTTTCCAAGTCTGGTGAGCAGAACAAATCAAACAGCTCTTTACTTATTCAGTCTGCAGGAGTGACTGTTGGCTCTTGTCTCACCTGAGTATCTGTAACTATAGATTATCCACATGCTTTCCCAGCACACTGAGTTGGTTTTCACTATGAAAGGTTCCTAAGTATTTTGCCTGTTGCCTTATTTAGCACTGCAAATAACCTTCGAAGAACTTGTTTAAAAACTCTCAAGTTGCACTGCTTGAGGATTTGCTCCTCCCATCACATTTCTCAGCTGTGCCACAGTCTTCCTAAGTGCTTTCTTTCTGCAGCCTCTGCCAGTAGCAATTCAGTCAATCTAACTGAACTACAGAACAAGGGTTTGTTAAATCAAGGCACACCTCAGGACTGACCTTCTGTCAGCATAAATATGACTTCAGGTAATTTAGCTTCCATATCTGGCAGGGATGATTTAAAAAGACACAGCAATGAATGTTACTGGGTATTATCAGCTGAACGTTCTGACCTGTGTCCCCTGAACAAACTCCTGCAGCAGTCAGATGATTTTCACCCATCCTCTGCCTTCACAGCAGAGTCAACAGAACAGAAGGCACAACCAAGGCTCTACCACACCAGTACGCAGTTTGGCAGCTGAGTTTAAACCCAAATATTTATTGGCAGTTTATGCACTGAGCTATGATCTAGAGGATTTCTACTGTCATAGCTAACAGCATGGTAAATCACATGCTGCAGTCACCATGCATGTATATGGGCTGGAAGCACGTATGAGATAATACAGCTAAATTTAGTGGAAAGAGGTGAAAATAGCTGAAACTACATTGGAATGCCACGGGCTGTCAGCAAAGCTAAGCTGATGCACAGTACTTTATGAAGTCACAATAATTCAGTTGTGAGTCTGAGCTCTGAAATGCATTGAGTTAACCCTTAGTCTGGCTTTAACTAGTGCTCCTCTGGATGCAAACCAAGGCTGTCTTTCTGTCTCTTCCTTATGCATGCCTTTTCTGTCTCATCCATTAAGTCTCCTCATACTTATGATGCCTCAGAGAGTATGTATTATACGCAGCTGTTCAGACACAGGACAGACTAACCATGAGGGTTAAAAGATAAGGAATTCGTGTTTTACCTTTTCAGCCTGCAGCAGAGGCAATAGCAGGAAGCTCATATATCTGTTTCAGCATGTGTAAAATAACTAACCTTGCCATGCAGCTAACAAGAAACAAAAATGTTTGTTCATTTGATAAAAATACTTCAGTTGCCTCATAAGCTCAGCATCCGCTAACATCTCCAGATCTATTCTCTGCTCAGTGATGTCTAGACAGCTGACTTCCAAAGTAATCCCTTGTATTTACTTCCTTTCAGAAGTATGACTCCACATTTCTGCTATCTGATGGGTTTTGCTTTTTACTGGTGGTTCCCTCACCCAGGCCCCCATCTCGTTCAGTAGCCATTACTCATGCACACAGGCCTTTCAATGTCACTTGAGTCTAGTCACACAGGCAAGGACCCTGCAGAGGTCTGGAGACCTGGCTCCCTTTCCAACCACTTTTTGAAGCTACCAAACCAAATCTGTCTCAGCAATTCAGTATCAGCTATTTTGATATGCAGCTTTAAATACCAAAATAAGGAGCCCTGACTTGCATCACCCTATACTTGTTGCAGTATATGTCTTGCATATGTGTTGCAGGCACCTAAGCATCCTTGTCAGGATCTGTTAGACACAGAGATTTTGGTAAGTTCCTCTGTCCAAGTGCAACATGTAACTTTCCCTGAGGAGCCTGTAACTAACAATTACTCAGTTGCTCTCCAGGTGTCATATCCATCTTGTGCTACAGCAAATTTTCTCCATCGCCTGCTTTCTCTCTAATGTAAACCCACACCATGGTTCAACAGAGGCATAAAGAACTCACTCAGCTGTACAATTGATGATGACTATACACTGAGGTTAACTGCACTTCCCTGGTGGTAAAGCACCTGGCGGGACAGAGATGTTCACAAACTGCTTCAGGGCAATGCAATGCTGCTGCAGCTTAACCTTCTCCTTCCCATTGTCCTTATAATCTGCAATGGTGCCAAGGAGAAACACTAAGCATCTAGCAAAAGGTAGCCACTGTCAGTGGTTGAAGGCTCAGTTTGGGAAGCTGATGAGTGCCGTCTGCTCTCTCAGATTTCCTAGGAGTTGGAGGATCTCAAGACTTCATAAAGTCACCTCCTCTTCCCCCTTCTCCTCAAGTGTTTACTTGTTTGATTGATCCAAATCCCCTGAAAAGCCACTAGGAAACTCATCCATGACTGGATCATGACCACAGAGCCAGCTTTGCTCCTGCTGTGGTTTTGTTATGCACTTCTTGAAGGACCCTTTGCAGGTTTGTTCTGGCTCCTCCTCCATGAGTTGCTTTTTGTGTTTTTATACCAACAAGGAACAAAAATACATTCATAATCTTTAATATCTATTCGATTCCAGTTTCCTCTCTTTACATGTGAAAGACTAATTAGTTTCATTTACTTTACCTTGAAAACAGTAATATATTCTGTGGCATATTTAGCAATTATTAAAACGATCACCATGGAAACCAAGGATGTAAAGTGGAGAGATAAAAAGGAGTTGCATCACAAACACGGCATGGAGAATTGCATTGGGAGGCAGCTAAATACTAATTACCATAGTCTTCACTATAGTGAAGTCAATAAGGAGATATAGAAATCAATCAATCAATCATTTAACTTTGTGACTTAGAAAGGTAAATGTGGTGGAGGGATTCATTTCTCCTTGACTTACCAAATTGCCACAAACTTAGAATTTGAAGTATTTATGAAAGCAGAATCACTCAGGACACAAAGGGTTCCATGCTCTCCAGTGTATGTTCTAGTTCGTGGAGAAGTATGAGCTATTGGACTTCCCATTAGTCATGGAAAGCCCAAATTCTTTACTTGATAGCAGTTAAAAGCTGCTTAAAAAGGACAGATACATCCTGATCCACTTCTAGATTTGCCACAGGTTTTTTTCCTAGTGCAAGGACTTTAGAACTCGTGACAATAAATGCATGCAGGTTCAAACGTGAAGTGTTAAACTCACTTCATTTTTAAACAAAACAACAGGTTGTGAATATAAAATCCATTTCAACTTCCCGGTTACCACAGATCCATCTATGAGAAGCACTAATGTAATACCATAGCCAGCTTTGTCTGCGTGCAGTGGATCTCAAAAATACAAGAAGGAGCACAAATATATAGAAACCTTGTTTCTAAAACAAACTGGCTCTGAGCATAGTTCAAACTTAAACAGGGGAAGTTCAGGTTAGATATAAGGAAGAAGTTCTTCACAGTGAGGGTGGTGAGGCACTGGAATAGGTTGCCCAAGGAAGTTGTGAATACTCCAACCATGGAGGTGTTCAAGGCCAGGTTGGACAGAGCCTTGGGTGACATAGTTTAGTGTGTGGTGTCCCTGCTCATGGCAGGGGGGTTGGAACTAGATGATCTTAAGGTCCTTTCCAACCCTAACTATTCTATGATTCTATATCTCACTTCAAGGAGAAACATGTCTTTCCATGTTTTCTGTGGATGTTTGCTGATGCTCCTACTTCTCCATGTAGATGAAAAAAAAACATTTAAAACAAGCTGTCTAACTGAACCTGTTAAATACGAACCCATTCTTTTAACAGGATAAAACTCCAGAAAAGTGTGAGGAAAATCTGCCGTCGTCAGATACAGATGAAGACATCAAAAAGGATGAAGCTTATTACCAAACTCCCAGTAATATTTTAGCAAAGGTAGTTTGTCAGTTGTTTTTTCTGTTGGTTTGTTAACATCTCCAAGGAGACGGGAGACATTTAATGAGGAACTGGTGCAAGGAGCCATTAGTACTTTGCAAAAGAAATACATAGATAAAGCAGAAGGTAATAGAGATTTCATTTGTACAAGAAAAAATACACAGGACTTGTTCAAAGGAGTTTTCTGGTAGAAAAGCTGCGTAAAACAAAGCTGTGCTTTAAAAAGACTGTGAAACATTCTAGTATCATTTCACTGTGAAACAAGGGAGCAGGAGAAATCATGCTGGTAATTTTAAACAAACTTTGCAACCTAATTTGGGAGGCTGATTCCTCCCTTCCCTTGTAGTCAGTGGTCAGGAGAAGCTGAACAGTCAGCCTTCTGCAGAAGTCACAGCCTCTCTGCCAAGACCGCACAGCTAACTGAAGGACATTAACGATTTGAGTTTGTCCTATTAAAACACAACAAAATGTTTGTGGTAGTACTTTAGAACATAGCTGGTTACATCCCAGACTGAAAGTGTCAGTAACACCCATCAGCACCAGTATGTATGTTTCAGCCACCTTTCTAGCTGAAAGTTTCTGGGAATTTACTCATTCGGGGAAAGCCAAGCTACATTAGCTGGTGTGTTTAAACAGCATGAGCACTGAACAAAACCAGGAAATTAAGATTTTCTCTCTAGGCAGAGCAATGACATTAATGTCTTACGTTGTTATGTGTTTCGAACAGTGGAATACTGAGGTACCAAAGCCTGACCCTACAGCTGGGTTTGATGCGCAAGAGAAACCAGTGCAGACGAACCCAGTACAGGAGAACATTTATATGCCAATGAAATCACTGTAAGTAACAGCTTCATTATGGTTTGTGAATTAAAAGTGACATAGTGGTAAAGATAGAGCTGTCGTCTGTGGAATTTAAATCTAGAGGCTGCATCTTGTTTGAATGAATCCTTCTTTGGTCTTGGTTCAGAAAGTGGGAGTACCAGAGTGAAACTCCAACTCATCAAGGTGAAATTAAGACTCATGCATTTAGATGTGCTCTGACTATACAATGCAGCACTTTTTGCTGGCTCATACTTTTCCTAGATTTTCATGACATAACAACCCACCACTTCACTCAGATACTGCAGCCAAACTCCAGCAACCTTTCAGACAGGTACTCTCCAAAGCAGGCAGCATTATCCAGTGGTTAAAAGAGAAAGGTAGACATGGGGGAGAGCTGGAAAAGCTTGCTGGAAAAGCTCCAAGCTTTCCCAGTAAGAAGTTCTGTGATCCTGAGTAAGTTATTTCCTTCCTTCCAGTTTCTCATCAAAGAACAGGTCTGATGCTGAGTACAGTGTTTGGCATGTCACAAAGAAAGATCTGAACTGTGTGACACAGCATTAATGCCACAAGGAAACTTTACAAGCTCCACGGTATAGCAAAGTGTACTGAAGTGTGCCTTCACGGTAAAACCATGCCTCCTGAGCAGAGGACTGGTTACCTATGGCCTGCCACCTACTGACAGGTCTTATGCCACATAGTAGGAGGCAATTGGAAAAGCCCACACATGAACCAGTTTATTCCAATAGATCGATTCGAGCTCGTCTGTGTCTTTGGCAGCCCCTGGAAGAAATTACTATAAACCCCTCACTAGCCAATGCCATCTGAGTTAAAATACACCACCAGCAGCTTTTGCTACGAGCCCCAGTCTTGTTTGGGGTGAGGAGGGTGTTGGCTCCAGGCATTGTAAGGCTCATCAAATAAACCTAAACTGTGTTCAAGCACATCTGAGTTATTTTATCTCCCAGGGGACAGTGTTACAACCCTGCAGAAGCCAGTACAGCCAAGGCCAACAATCTGCACTCAGTTTCTTTGTCCAAGCATGTTGTTAGCTGGAATGTTTTCAGGCTTAATAAATGGTCTTTAAGTACTGAAAAAGGTTTATTTTGGGATTTATAGTCCATTTTTAGAAGGACTGTTTATTTTATTTAGCTGTAATTTTGTCCACTGGATATTCTACAAGAACTTATTATTCTTTGCTTCACTGATGGCTATTTGATCCAGCTTCAAACACAGCAAGAGTGCCTGGAATGGTCAAACCACCTCATTTATTATCACCATTCCTCTTTAGTAGGTTGCTGGATGAGAGCTGCCAGCTCACATGCAGACATGATGGGCTCCCATCTCCTCCCAAACGCCAGGACAATAGCACATGTCCAGGAGACTTGGAAGCAAAAAAAGACCTAAAATTCCCAGAAAGCAGCGCCAGCAGCCTCCAGAAAAAGCAAAATTCATCACCACTGTCAGTGGTTCAGTTGTCTATACTGCTCAGGTGAGTGTCTTCTTCATTTTCCTTGCAGAGAAGACAGACATGTTCATGGGTTGCAGCTGGGTACTGGTAGAGCGTGTCAAGCCTGTCAGAGTTCAAGGAGCATCTGGATGACACTTTTAGTCATATGATTCAGTTTTAGGTAGTCCTGTGAGGAGCAGGGAGTTGGATTTGATGATCCTTATGGATCCCTTCCAACCTGAGATGTCCTGTGATTCTATGCTCTCTGATGTTTTCCTTCACAGCCAAATTAAAGATGAGACCCAGCTGCAGAAGTTGGATATTTTCGTCCCCTTGGCTGATATTAACACTTACCTAAAACTTACTGAAGCAGCAGGACAAATATGGTGAGTTCTTGGATGTCTTGTGATGGTGCCTGTCAAATCTGAATAGGTCAGGTCAGCTAATCCTAAATAGCTTGTCATCAAGGAGAGTATCAGAGACCAGCAGGAAAGAGAATCTGGAATTTCTATAAAGGTCCCATCAGAACAGCAGTGGATCTCTTGCAGTTATATCATAGATAAAACACACGATAACAAGTTTTAATTTCATTCTTTTGGGATGACTTCAGAAACCATCTCAGTCAAACATTGAGCTAAAACATCTACAGCAAGTCTGGATGCTGCTTTTAGACTGCAATCCCCGAGATTCTCTTGTGAACTTGGTAGCACCAGTTTCACTTGTTAACATGCTGCAGTGTCAGTGTCATGTGTTCTTTTAGGAGAACCCATTGGGATGGATGAAGCAGCTTGGTTTCAGCTAGAACCAGATCAAAATGTTGCAAAGTCATTCAACCTCTGTGTTATTCCCAGAGGGCAGTACCATAAATGCAGTCCTGTTCATCCACTGTTAGCAGTGACTGGGTATCCCATATATTTCCTTTATTGTCTGTCCTCCAAATACCTTAGTGTCTCCCAGTGGACTGGTCCTCACCAAGTGGGATGTTTGTTTAACCACGGGGACCATATAGTGGCTGTGAATGATCTGCAACCCAGGAACGTGGAGGAGGCTTACTTCTTCATCAGCAGGTCCACCAGAAAGGAGGTAAGCTTGACTAACCTGAAGGTGAGAGTCAAATGAATCAAGCCAAATGAGAAAGGAAGTTGCCTTTTGCATTTCTAGTAGATCCATTCAAACCACTTTACTCTGGTTTAATTTTGGCATGAACAACTTCAGTACCAAATAGCTCCTCTGGATCATTCTGTTCTGATCTAGCATCACTTATTCCTGGGCTATTTGGGGAAGGCCAGGTCAGCACTGCTGTGTCTGAGGACTTGATCTCAAGGAGTCTGAGCAAGCCCAAGAGACACTACTGGGCAACTGTAAAATACAGTTATTTTTTTGCCTAAGGGCCATGAATTGCAACCTTTGGGATTAAACAATTGCCTGCAGTGGCTGCTGTTGTGTAGGGACTGCTGTGATAGGACAAGGGGTAATGGGTTCAAACTTAAACAGGGGAAGTTCAGGTTAGATACAAGGAAGAAGTTCTTTACAGTGAGGGTGGTGAGGCACTGGAATGGGTTGCCCAAGGAAGTTGTGAATGCTCCATCCCTCGTAGTGTTCAAGGCCGGGTTGGACAGAGTCTTGCATGAACTGGTCTAGTGTGAGGTGTCCCTGCTCATGGCAGGGGGGTTGGAACTGGATGATCTTAAGGTCTTTTCCAACTCTAACTATTCTATGATGCTATGATTCTATGCTTGTAGTGGTTTTGGGTACTGAGGGCAGAGCCCTAGACTCCTGCCTCCTATGGATTATCAAGCACTATGCATCTCCTTGTGTGATACCACTTGTTTTTGAAGAATGTGGGAGATTTCTAGGGTGTGCCGTAACATCACTGTGATCTACTACATGTTAACACTATGTGCCTCTCAGGTAGACTCGTATTTCAGTATCCGGGTTCTCTGACCCACGCCTGAACTTGTTTGAATTTTGCTGAGAAAGCTGAAGTCCTCAGATGCTGTTGCCATCTAAAGAAAAGAAAGCCAGCCTCAGCAACGAAAAAACACTCATCTCTCTTAATAGGACCTTTTCATTTAGCTAGTTAAAATACAAGTCAGGTAGTAGCACAAACGTTGGCCAGATATATCAAGCTATGAAAATGTCTCTTTTTTTTTTAAGGTGAAGCTTACTGTTTGTAGGATTCCACATTCAGATATCTTCCATGTTAAAGGCTGCTCATGTTCCTGAAAAAAGAGACCTCGGTGATTAAGTAAGTGCCAAAGTTCAAGGGGAAAGATCAGGGAGAAGAATGTGATATAGTGTATGGAGGTAATCTTCTAGAGCTGCCAGATATCTTCTGTTGCTGAAGTACAAAGAACAGGGAATGTGGATTTCATTTTCATTTTATGTCCTAATCACCTGTTTAGTTGATATGGCTGGTATGTGTTTGGTTTGTATTTCATGTTAGCACGTATTTCAGTTACATGAAAAAGACTGAGGGTCAAATCATTTATGAAACCTCTGCATTGTGTGTACTTTGTACTTCAGTACTAAGTACTGGTCACACATCTGCTCACCTCTTTACACTGAATGACACTGATTTATACCAAACTCCTCATCAGTTAGGGGTGTGGTAACAACCTGCATTTGGAACAAAGCCATGTTTTCCCTTGTTTCCCCTCAGCTACAGAAAGGCAAGCTGAGAGCTGGAGTGTTGGCTGGTAAATAAAGTGATGTGTAGTGATTCAGTGGGGCTTCCTTTTCTATCATGCCCCTCTTACGTTACAGTCACAAAAATACATTTAAGAGATGGCAGGAAAAAGAGCTGGTTGGAGGAGAATGTGTCTGGAGTACCTCTGGGTTCACCGGCAGCCAAAATAGCCCTATGTGATGAATGAAAGAATGGATTTGGGAGAGGGGAGGGATGGCCTGCTCTGTGAAAGTGTTACTGGTAAAGACAGCTGGGAAAAACAGAGAGAGAAATGATGTATACGAAGGCATGTGCACTCATCCCAGTGCAAACAGAGCTCACTGGAAGAGTTTTGATGCCACCAAGTACTACCATAGGGATGTCACTGTTACTGCAACAATTCCAGACCAAGTGCACATCTGTTTCCCAAACGAGGACACTTCCTGTAAACATTTATTTGTGAATATGTCTTGCTTCCACTGCTATCACAGAAACATGGCTGATTTTCAGCTAATACTACACTTAAAGGTGTTGGTGCTTGATATGGACCTGCCTGCGGGGTAGCATTTAAGTGGATGCCAAAAGGGAGCTTTTTTGTCCTGTACTACAGTGACCTCTGTTGCTTTCAGAAACATGGTGTGATGAGGTGTGTAGGCAGGACACATGCCTATTCTCTAAACAGATGTGTACACATATGTATGTACATGTTTGTGTGCAGTTGTATTTACATACATCTATCACTGAATCACAGGATGGTTTGGGTTGGAAGGGACCTTAACGATCATCTACTTCCAACCCACCTGTGAGGTAGATTGTATTAAATACAGTGATATGGCAACAAGCTGAATCACTGGTTTTGAGTATAGATAGTTTTATCTTGCCAGACACAACCAAAATAACTACTAAATGGGTTTAGCAGGCATAGGATTATTGATACTGAGAGATTTGATTAAGGCAGATTTGACCCAAAGGAAGTATTTGTCCAGCTTCCAATTGAATTAGGCTAAGTCAGCTAGTACAGTAAGAAACTAGACTCAGTAAAATCATCATTAGTGCAAACTTACTCCAGTAGTAAATCTAACAAATGTGCTTTGTTTATTTCTTTTGAAATCCAGTCTGGACTTTTAAAAAACCATTATAAAAATTTATTTAAGCAAAGATGGAATCAGCATCAGTAACTCAAAATGAACCAACACTAATATTTATACAGTCTGTTCAGACTCAAACCCTATTCAAAAGCTTAATTTCCAGCCTGCCTGTTTCCACAGCCTGTCTCTTCTGCTTTTGAGATAAGAGTGTTTGGGACACACTCATTTCTCAAGGTAGAAAGAATCACTTTTTGATATTTCTGTTCCAGTGGTGGTCAAAGGCCTGAATTGTGCATAAAGACAGAAAGAAACCCCAGTTCTGGAGCTACAGAGGCTGAAAATGGAAGAAAAGACATTCCTTGGGAGCTCTTCTCCACAGCTGCTATGGGACTCCTTGCTCTGCACCGCCTCTTTGAGCTCAACAAATCCATCTCTGGCTAAGGAGCCTCTGAGGGACGGGATGCCCGGCTACCCCCACACGGGGCTTCTTCCAGCTCTGTAGCGGTGTCATTCTGCCAGGACAGTCTCTAGGCCCTAATCCTAAACCTACAGATCATCTAGTTCAAGAATATGCACCGAGGATGTCACCCTCATCCTTTCCTGCCCAAGGCTTACCTAAGCTCTTCTTCTGAACTTGAGAAAAGGAAAGTCCAAACCTTCCTGTGCTGTTCCGAGACTCATCTTTCTGTATAACTATGAAGGGTTTTTACTAATATTTACACCAGATGATTTTCTTCACAAAATGAATCCGATTCTTTTCTTGCCCTGTTTGCAGTGGGCTCAGGGAATGGGGATTTCTACTGTCTCCAGGGGAATCTTCATTCTAGAAGGTATTTTTTCTGACTCCTCTTTTTCTTTTAGGCCAAACATCCTACATTCTTTCAGCATGTTTCCCAACACTTCCTGAAAGTAAGTGGTCATATGCCACAGAACTGCAAGACAAACACACTGTGTTCCCAGTTATGGGTGAACAAAGGAGGTGAGACGACCATGAGGCAACTTCCTGCAATTTCCTAAAGAAACATGTCCAGAAAGGGGTGACCTTGAGAAGAAGCTGTGAACCGTACATGATGGCAGGAGGAGAGCCATGGCCATGGAACCTGCAGGTGGCATTGCTGCTGGAGGAGTTGAGCAATGCACGCTGCACCTCTTGGCCATGGAAGAATGTGCCTGGTGGTCAAAATACAGGATTTGGGTAGATACAGTATGCGCAGGATAATTCCAGGGTATTTCAGAAAACTGGGGGGGTTACTTCTGTACTTCACTAAACAGTTCCTGACGTGTTAGCCCATAGCTGATCGTTATGTCAGCTTGCACAGTGATAAATGAAGATTAATGTCACATATTGGCTGATTCACAGCACTTATAGAGGTACAATATGGAAATTACACTGGTACAGTAAATTCTGGGAGGGTGTATGTCTGCCCACATGCAGTTAATAAATGTGTTAACACTTTACAGCACATTGTATTCTGCTAGTACATGGCTTTCTCCTGCCACAGGCCCTCCTTGTCCTCTAGAGGCTACCTGTAACTTCCCAGTAACCTGCAGCTGAACCACCAAACACTCCTTCTTAAAAATGCTGCCCTTAAAAACCAAGATCAACCTTCCTCTGTAACATTTTCCCCCATGTGAAAACATTACCTTTCTTCAAATGAGCAAATTCTGCTAAAGCTCTGGGCTGCTTCTAGAAGCAACAGCCGAGGGAGATGCCTACATGCATGGTGTTACCCAGTGCTCACATTTAGTCCTGGAAGACCTGAAAGGAGTGTTTTTAAACCCATGCTGTCAGAGGAGGAGTAGCTGGTAATGTTTTAGATCCACCTACAGGCATTTTAAATGTGTCCTGTTAGCACACACTCTTAAAGAAATAGGTGATATTGCAGCTTCTCTGTGCAGCATGCTCTGTGCTGGCAGAATCTTCTCTTAGCCGGTCTCCAGGTCAATTTTGGGCTGCGGAGGTTCCTGATACAGATGTTTAAATTGACATGAGCTAAAATTCGGTGAATCCACAGACTAGTTAATCTATACAAAAACACAGCTGGAAGAAGGCTGCAGACCATAGAGTCATAGAATGGTTTGTGTTGGAAAGGAACTTAAGACCATCTAGTTCTAACCCCCGGCCATGGGCAGGGACACCTCAGACTAAACCATGTTGCCCAAGGCTCTGTCCAGCCTGGCCTTGATACCAGATCCTGAAACGTTGCACTTGACCCGATGAAGTAACCTGCCTGGAACTGGGGCCATTGCTGGCTGCAACACACACACCACTTGGACTCACGCAGCACCTGCAGGCTGGGTGTACAAGAGACAAAACCCAGCTGACTGCAATGCGGATTACATGATTTGCTCACAGTTAACATGCACCTCACCAACTCCTTCATTTCCTGTTATTGAATACAGCCAGTGCCTTTAGGTTGTTTCCCTGGCTGTTAATTCATGGCACATTCCCATGCTGCAGCCATTCATTAGTGGTGCTCATTTCCCCCCACCCCCCGAGTTCCCCAATATGACTCACATTCTCTCTACCACTCTAGTACCCTTCTCCAGCAGGGAAATGCCAATTGTTCAGGAGAAAAGCAAGTTCCTGGACAGAGAGAAAGTGATGGTAAGAAAAGTCTCCACATTGGTGTGAGGTCATTGAAGTGAAGAAAAATAATAAGCTCATTGTACAGCAAGCACAAAGCAGATGACACAACCTCAGCACTTCCTCTCAAGGGCCACACTTCCAAGAACTGGGTTGGAGTCACGTACTGATGAAGAGAGCACAGGTCCTGCAGGAAAAAGCTCCAGCCAGTAAAGGTTATCCATGCTGTGTCCATGTCCATCCTGAAGTGAGCCAGAGACACGCTCTATGTAGTTCAGTGTCTGGCTTCAATGTGTTACTCAGAGTCCCTCCAGTCTGGGGTACCCAACCAGATGTGCTTCACACGTGGACTTACAGCAAGTGGAGTCAAAAGAGGAGCAGCTCAATGCAGGAGAGCAATGTCACCAGTGGTGAGCTGAGGACACTTAGTCTTTGTTTTCCTCCAGATCTTCTGGTGACCTCAGGAAAGCCATTTCCTTGCACACTCAGTAAAACTCACAAAGTGATTTCAGACACGTCATGCTATCTTCTATCACGCATGCAATCTCCAGCATCACATTCAGCATTGAACTGCTTTCCCTCACAGAACATCTGCTGGAAACACCTCCATTAGACCTGTACGCTGGGGGCTCTAGCCCCATTATATGGAGAGATGCTGATATGCCCATTTGGTGCTAAGGGAAAAGCTGTCCTGAATGTCCTGCAGGAATGTGTCTTACCCTGTCACTGTCGAGACAGCAGCACCACGAGAGAACAGTAGGTGATGCTCTACTTCCCTGTGGGGGACTGGCTCACCCCATCTCTGTGCTGCTTATGGAGAGCTGCACTGAGCAGGGGCTGTGGAAATCTTCTCTTTCAGTATTTCAGGTCCCATTAGCAGACA